AATTTGCTGTTTTTAGACGACATTGTAGCAAACTTTTGTGTCTCTAAGTGATCATTCCATATACATAGCTTGCTGATTTGGGATTCGGCATCAACAATAATGTAGTTTGTTGTCATAAAATCTTGTGTTTCACATGGTATATTGGCAATGCCCAGAGCCCATTGTGACTGTTGGAAAAGGAGCTGTGTACTGTCCATCCCCATGGAAAGTAAACCTCACCTTTCCTTGTCACAATATTGTTTTCTGCACACCACTAAAGTGAGTATGTAATGTACACTTGGAGTCCAAGCACACTTATGGCATCAAGACAAACGCAAATAACATAGGAAAGGAATATTTGCTGATGCAGTTCTGTATTGCACTGTTTAAGGATTTCTCAATGAATTTGTCCTTAACTGTAAATTTACATATTGACTGCATGAGTCTAAATGCTTATTTACTTAAACAATTTATATAGTCACCCATTTCACAGTGGCTTTGAATGACATACAAAAATTTTAACCCAAAGGAAGTGTGAACAAGAAAAATAAAGCAAACGATAATCGTTTGTGTCTCAAGAATATCTCTGTTCAAAGAATCCATAAATTCAAAATAAGGAAATCCAAAAGTAGAAAGTAGGTCAACTAGAGTACAAGAATAAAACACTTTAATTTAAGAAACCATCATGCAATACTGGTGTGTTTTAACGGCTGGATATTTATGCCGCAGTCTTCAGAAACTCCATTCTCTATCAACTTCTTCTAATCCATGAGTAATCAGTCAGATTAGAGGTAGGTTCCTACCAGTTCAGACCAGTTCGACCAAACCAGTAGTGGTTTTCTGGCCTGCATCACTGGAATTGGTAGCGACTCAAGCCTGCCATGCCTCCGAAGCACTTCTCCAGTCGGGTGGTATGCTTTTTTTCCTTTTATAATGTTCTGCACATGTGCAGATCTATTTTGGGGCAACTGCACATGTGGGCAGAATGCGACTGGTGAGCGAGCAAAGTGAGCATGCATGTGCAAAATTGCGCACACACTGAACCAGCAGTAATGCCGCAGCAACCCACCCCTGAGTCACATAGATTACTCATTAGAAGGCTTGGTCTTACAATACATTTGGAGTAGTTTTTTTGGAGTAGTTTATTTATATGCCGCCCTTTTCCCTGGGGGGACTCAGGGCGGCTTACAATTCAAAAGGAGGGGAAAACAAACAGATTAACACATAAGACAGTACATCATTAAAAGCACAACATTCATACAATTCAGGTGGGTTACGGTCTTTAACCCCAGGCCTGATGGGATAGCCAGGTTTTGAGGGCTGTGCGGAAGGTCTGGAGGGTGGTGAGGGTACGAATCTCCACGGGGAGATCGTTCCATAGGGTCGGAGCTGCCACCGAGAAGGCTCTCCTCCGCGTGGTTGCCAGTCGACATTGACCGGCAGATGGAACTCGGAGGAGGCCTAATCTATGGGATCTCCCTAGGTGCCTTTCAGTTAATCCTGCTTTGGTATTTCTCTAGTTTAAATCTCTAAATTGGACTTGTCTGGGGTGATTCCTTGTTCTGATAAAACAGGGTTTAAATCAGTATGTTCCTGAAATTTATAGTATTAAACCAGACCACAGTAGAAGTGGGTAGGACTTCTCAAGGAGGATAATCACTTTGGAAACTGGCTTTGCTTGCCATTTAACTTATTTGATACAAGCCAATATGATAGGCATTAATTATAATACATATAAAGGTTGCAGGTATTGGGTATGTCTAGTTTAATGAAAAAAGGACTAGGAGGGATACGATAGTAGTGTTCCAATATCTAAGGGGCTGTTACAAAGAAGTGGGGGAGGCGTCAACCTATTTTCTAGCACCTGAAGGCTGGACAAAAATCAATGGATGGAAACTAATCAAGAAGAGAACTAAGAAGAAGTTTCCTGACACATATTTCCTGACAATGTAAACAATTAATCAGTAGAATGACTTGCCCCCAGAAGTTGTGGGTGCTCCAACAGTGGAGGATTTTAAGAAGAAATTAGACAACAATTTGTCTGAAATGGTATAGGATCCCCTGCTTGAGCAGGGGGTTGGACTAAAAGAATTCCAAGGTCCCTTTCTGTAATTCTATTAATCATGCCATCGAGTACATATGCAATTTACTGATAGCTCTTGTGCAAAGTCAGTTTTGTTTGTGCTGCTTATCCATTTTATAACATGATAGAAATATTAATTACAAATTGTTCTCTTATCCATGATACAGTGAGGCCATAACTTCATATTTTGCTCTAAAGGACACAAAAAGATTGCTCTCAATAACTACTTGAAATTATGACTCATTAAAAGAATGACTCAGTGTAATTTCTTCTCAGCTATAATCTGTATGTGACAAGAACAAAATAGAATAGGAAATGAGAGGATCTAAGCAAATAGCAAATGTTTTTGAACTTTTTGAACATTAGAAAGTACACTACAGTACTATTTATTATTTACACTATTTACTGCTCCAGTAAATATTCAGAAAAAGCCATAAAAATGGCCATTGAAGTGCTGATATAACTTCTACTTAGCTGTAAAATATATAGTTCTGCTGAAAGGAAGTACTTGCCAAATGTTTGTTAAAGAACAAATAGTTAACAAAAATGAATACAATTTATTCTAAAAAAATGGGAAAAAAGAAAATTCAAACTAATTTTCTAGAAATGTTCATTTGTCTTGTTGACATGCAGCATGGCTGTTGGTTCCCTATTATTTAGAAAATTATCACTCCAGTTCTGTCAGTCATTCACCATCTGCTTAATTAATATTGTCAGCCAGCAGGAAATTGAAAACAGAGAAATCAACATTTAGGTGAATGTCTTTATATTACTTTGCATAAAATATTTGTATGTGGTGTGTAATATGCAAAGGCACAAGTCATTTGAACAATGTGTGCACTTCTGTGCACACATATACAATCCATTTTGCCCTCATTATATATTAAACTGTTTTCTCTTAGTTTGCATTTAAAAAGGAATGTAGACCTGGCTCTGGGATTGTGTGGGAAATGAGTGAACCATTTAAGCAAGACTTTAAAAACAATTATTCAGTTCTGAAAGAGGGCAGTGTAAGGAAGAAAATCAAAGTAACTTTACCTTGATTTTATTTGGTTTAAGATGGAGTAGACAGAAACTTGGACAGGCTTTCAAGTTTCTGTTATTCAGCTTAACAACAATAAAGAACAATTCTTGGAATGGCAACTGTGTCTGTTTCTTGACCTTGCCTATTTTGAAGGGTTTGAACTAGCCCTCTAGACCTAAAATTTGGTAATGGAACTTTGAAGCAACTCACTGTCTCTAGAACCAGTTTTTGAGGCATTGTTATAGCATAATCAATTGCAGATTGATCGGTTGATTGCTTAATTGATTGTGTCATTTTTTTATTCCTAGCAACCTTATAGATATATTTTCTCTATGAAGATCTATCCCTAACATATTTTTTTCAGATCTCCTGGTAGTGCCTTCATGGTAACTGTAACTTCATTGCTGGTCATTCTCGTCTTCTCTTTCTTTCCAGTTTTGCTACCAATAGATCCTTTTCCAGAGAGCTAGGATTTTGCATAATGTATCCATAATAGAACAATTTGAGCTTGATCATTTGTGCCATGAATGAGAACTCTGGACTGATTTGTATGATGGTGCATCAGTAATAGATGGTTATACAAATAACAAACTGCACAATGCCATGATGCAGCTAGCACAATAATTTGTATAAACCTTACTTCAGCTGAAAGCAGTTCCACAAGTTACTGCACAGGTGGCATTGTCCAGAAAGTCTACTGGTGAAATTTAGGGATAGGTATCTCAAGATCAATTATTGACTTTAATGATGCAGTGTGAATCATTTATGGTTCAATTCAACTGATATTTCCTATAAGGCCACCTTTTGTCCTTAGTCTGCCGAAAAAACAGACAAATATCTCATGCTGCTCATTGAGGGCAATAATGGATTATTGGAAATTACCAGAATTGTTTGCAAAATTTTAGAGATGCTTTTTAGCTAGGGAAACACCAGCAAATTAGGGGAAGTAAGAATACTCTTGAGTTTGTGAGTACATACAGTAGTGGATTTCCAGTTGTTTGCCAGAGATGAGCATTGGAATGATCATGCCCTGATTAACCCATTTTAGAAAGAACTTTTAATGATCTTTTGTAAAATGTTGGGAAGAACTTCTAATGATTTCTTGTACAAATTTTAAATAAAGACTCATTGCCTTTCTCTATCATCAGGTCTTCTTTTCAAGCAATCTTAGGCTACCATAGCCAGGATCCTGGTCTACTGTTCCTGAGCTGCCACTCAGCTCCTCTAAAGAGAATAGTTAGATTTGGCCAAGGCAAAAGATTCTGATTAACTAAGTTGACACTACCAATAATTGTGGATGGACATAAGTATTCACTATTAAGATTGTTCTTATTAACATAAAAAAGCAGAATCAGAAGTGCTGTATTTTCATATAGCACATTTTATATCAAAGACTATTTTTCACCGGATATAGCAAATTAAATTTATTATTCTTTTATGCACTATAGAACAACACTTAAGAACAAGATTTTCTTCACTTGTATTGTTTCTGCTCTTGAGTGGCAATGAGTGTTAGGAGACCTTTTTGATCTAATATTAATTTTATAAATTGCATTCCACTTCTCTAGGTCCTATTCAGCCCCGTGAAGGCTCTTAGAAAATTGTAATGAAGCCTTAAATTTAACCACTGAGGTGAAGAGAATTCTACTTAATGGAAGCTGTGAAAATATTAAAGCTTTTAAACTTCCAAGAAAACTATTTTCTCATTCCTTGTATGCCTTAATACAGTAGATAGGTACTTTAAAGTGTGTAAAGAACTATTTCCTAACATTATGCCACTAATAAACTTCATTTTGCTTGTAAATGTTATATTGCTTACAGTGTTTTAAAAAGTGTCTTGTCACTTTGAAATAGTAATGGATTTCTTTGCTTTTCATGATAGTTTAATTAAACTTTTCTTTCATCTTTCCACAGTCTTTTCCTGGTCCAAGCCTTGAAAGTGAAGATTTTAACATACCTCCTATCACTCCACCTTCATTACCTGACAATTCATTAGTGCATTTGAATGACACAGAATCTGGTTATCCTTCACTGTGTCATCCTATCAACCATAATGGCCTGCTTCCATTCCACACTCAAAATATGGATCTACCTGAAATAACAGTCTCTAATATGCTTGGCCAAGATGGAACGATGCTTTCAAATTCTTTATCTGTGGTAAGCTTATTAATTGCATATGTGTTTGTGTGTATGGATATATGTATGCATGTATATATGTATCTAAGAAAGATTTTTGAAACATATGTTTTTCAAAACAAATGTACTATTTGTAATTTGATAAGAAGCTTACTTTAAATACCTGATAAAAGAGATATGGAGATTGAAAAAAGTATTACCCTCTTTCCCAAATCATTAAGGATACTTCTAATTTTGAAGTTAGAGGAATATCTTTCAACATAATGAAGATAGTTTTGCTTGTTGCTAGCCATTTCTCTGTTTTTCAGATACAATATATGTGTGTGTGTGTCTGTGTGTGTTTAGAATTAAAGTCTCCCTTTATTTATTTATCAGCACAAATACAACATATATATATGTTGATA